TCAATGGAATTATATAATATATGTGGTCTTTGTGACTGGCTTCTTTCACTGAGCATAGTGTTTTCAAGGTTCATCCCCACTGTAGCCTGTGTCACTACTTCATTCCTTTGTAAGGCTGACTTATATTCCACTCTATGGGTATACCAAAATTTATTTGTCCATTCATCAGTTGCTGAAAAGTTGAATTCTTTCTAGTTTTTGGCTATTATGAATAACGCTGCTGTAACCATTCATGTACAGGTTTTTGTGGGGACAGTTTTTTTTCCCTCCTGGATCTGTACCTCAGAGCAGAATGCTGGGTCATACAGTAACTCCATGGTTAACGTTTTGGAGACCTGCCAGAGCTCAGTCCCATTTGAAATTCCAGTCATATATCCTTTTCAGATCTCCTGGTTCTTTTCCCAGAACAGGCTAAACTTTTGCTCTGCCCTCTCAGAGTAGGGGAGGGACATATCCACAGGCTCCATCCGCTTCCGTCTGAAGTCAGAGGCTTGCTGAGGGCCCGGGGTGGGACCTCTGACTTCCCTTCCCCGGCTTCATCTGCAGTCACAGAAACTGTTGGGGTCTTCAGTGGTCGCTGAGGGCGCAGGGACTTGGAGTGTCCCCGTTTTGTTCACCCCTGAAAACAACGAACAGCTCTTCGCCACTCCAAGATATATTTCAGTGAACCTCCCCCATTCAGACACTGGGGCAAGAAGCAGATATTCATCTCTAAGTAAGGACACTCTCAGGCTCCAAGGATGTTTATCTAGCATCCTCTTCTCCTCAGGAATGAGAGGGAAAGAGGACAGCACATGTTCCCTCCAGGGCCCCAGAACCTCCTCCTTGTCTTGAATCCCTCTCTTTCATTTTTCACTGTTAAAGGCCAGTGAACCAGTTCAACCTCTTCCACCTCCTCTTTCCTCTACTCTTATTTCCTGACCTAGTCCTATACCTGGGAGACTCACCTGAGGAATTAGACCTTAGTGAAATGTGAAAGTTATGACTTCAGTAACCTTTTTCTCCACACTGCGCTATCTCCCCAGTTATTTCTTTCCTGTCCAGTAACCAGGGGGATCCTGGGGCAGGAATCATACCTAATCGGTAGCTGACATCAACCTACTTGAGTTACAGTAAACCACCCCTTTATATGATTTCCTTTCAGGACATGGACTATACCCCATCCTCCTTTCTTCTTAAAAATAAACAACCTCCTCAGTTGCTCTGGCTAGACTCTGTATCCACGCCTTCCTTCCCTTCCCTCACCCTAAGGGGAGTCCGTCCTTAGCATGGGCTGACCATGACTCAAGGAAGGGCAATTTTCAGGGTGGCCCCATGTGGACTCCTCCCTCCTCTCTCCCCTCTGGCTGTCTATAACTTGCTCCCACCTCTGAATCCCTTATCCCCATTTTTCAGAGAGGGGGTGTGCCATCCTTCCCTTTCATCACATTCCAGATAAATGCCTATCAGAACCTTGGTTCCTGCTTTGGGAAGGTTGCTAAGGATGGTTCTAGATAAACTGCTAATTCCTTGTGGTTCTCACCCCTTCCTGAGCTCTTCCTTTGGGCCCATATTCCAGAACCCTGGGTGCATTTCTTTCTCACTCTGTGCTGTGGGTTTTTTTGTTTTGTTTTGTTTTTTATTGCTTTCCCTCCTATAAGGGCTAAAAGAGGACTTATTTTTGGGACCTGAAATAGATAACACTGACTTAGTACCTGCTTTGTGGAAAACACTGTTCTAGGTGCTTTATGTGAACATTTACATTATATGACATTGCATTATGTACATTGCATTGCATGACATTGCATTTGGAGGAAAATATTCTGGCAAGAAAGTATAGAAATGATTGGAGTAGTTCTTACCCCACTCTGCCTTATAATCACAAGGTGATCCTGATTAATCCTACGTAATCCTGGTTAAGCAACCTTTTCTTCTATAAAATGGAAGGGGCCTTGTGGACTGGTTGTATACACTGGTAAGATCATTGTTACACTTAATATAGTGCAGTATTTATGACCTAAATTCCAGTTTGCTGTTATCAATATCATCCTATACACTGTTAAAAACAAAATTCATGTCTACGATGATCCTACCTTAAACCTGAATTTCTGTTGAAAAAACTTAAAATGGATCTGGCTTCTGAGATAGACCATTGTAATTAGAATAGCATTTTTGAACATAAATTTTAAATAAGTTCTGAAAAATTTTTAAAAAATCAACGGAGTAAATCTTATTGGCTTTATTCAATTATTCATGAATCCTGCAGTATCCAATTTTGCAAATAGAAAGGGGCTCTGAGGAGCTATAAGAAATGAAAGATTTTCATGGGCAGGAGGGAGCAGGATTATACTAGATGAAAAAAGAGATTATACTAGATGAAAAGGCAAATGTGTACAAGGCCGCTTTCCTTTAGGCCTTAAAGTTAAGGGGATGGCAGGTCTAGCATGCAGATTACATAACTAGTGCTCATAAGGCAATTCTTGATGGACTGGTTTAAGATTCCATTTGTGGGGAGCCAAAACTGTAATTAAGTTAAATCTGGGTTTGGTGACAGGGAGTCATAGTGTGACTTGACTCCAACAGTTTGTTTGTTTGTTTCATTAATAACTGACTCAATTTTGAGCCTGTCATCTTGTTTTTATGAACACACACACACACACACACACACACACACACACACAATTTAGCTATGCCTCTCGGTGATCTTTTATGACAACGGGGACAAAGCTAAATAAAACAAATTGGAAACAAACATAGTTGTTTGCAAAGTTCGTTGGAATGCAGACTAGTGCAGCCACTGTGGAACACAGTATGGAATTTCCTCAGAAAACTAAAAATGGAACTGACTTTTGACCCAGCAATTCCATTGCTGGGATGATACCCTAAAAACCCTGAAACACCAATTCAAAAGAACCTACGCACCCCAATGTTCACAATTTACAATAGCCAAGTGCTGTTAGCAGCCTAGGTGCCCATCAGTAAATGGGTGGATCAAAAAATTATGGTACATTTATTTACATGATGGAATAGATGTTTTCTTGTTGCTGTTGTTTAGCAATATAACTATACACTGCATTAGTGATTTTTAAAAACTATTTCCATATCTTTACAAAAGTAATTTGTGTTCATGGAAAGTTATTTAGAAAGTAAAATATAAGCAAGAAGAAGAAATCAAGAAATCACCTACAAGTCCTCTACCTAATTGCCCCTGTTAAAATTTTAGTATCTCCCCCTCTAGTATTTTTTTTCAAGGCATCCAGATTCATGAGGCAGGAAAACATGCTGAGATACTAGTTTGAGGCCCGGTTGTGAAAACACCTAGGGCCTTGTTGCAAAAACACCTTTGCTCTGAATTGAGTCTTTTCTCCTAAACCTGCATTTATGAAGAAAGAGCCCAGAGGAAAAGGTGACAGTGAGGAGGGTCAAGGGAACTTACCGTATTTGCTGTGTATAATGCACATCCACATTTTTGGCCCAAACTTTCAGGAAAAAAACCTTTTGTTTTAATTTTTAATTCAATTTTTTATTTACTTATATTTAGAAGCAAAACCGATTGCCATATTCCAGGGTATTATGTCATATAACCATTGTTATTGCTTTCTAGAGTGACAGTTTTAACACATAAGCCTAAATACAATAATTAAAAACATTTATATAGATACAGAATTAGTATTACCCATGTAAATGCACTTATTTTTCCCTCAAAAATTTGGGCAAAGAAGTACACGTTATACATGGCAAAATATGGCAGGTGAGACAGAGAAGGGAAACGGCGTGGATGTCTCCCTTCTAAAGAGGAGCAGGCACTCGGGTGGGCGGTGTGGGACCCTCTGTGGACACTAAACTGTTAGAGCTATGCGGGGAACCTGTGCCCATTCCTCAGACTTCTGTGGTTCCACTACACAGAGGGGCTTTTCAGTGGTGAGACTAAAACCAGGTGGCAAGGAAAGGTCAACTTGAATATAGACCTGGGTGGCCAGTCTCATTATTCCTGATGAGGCAGGCTAGTGAGCCAGGACAAATGGAATAGGGAAATGGAGACAGTTTGATCAATGGCCAAGCAGTTCCCAGTCATCTAGTAAATCTCAAAATCTCATCTTCTCTCACCAAGGACACTTAGGAATAAATGGCTTACACTTCTTTTCCCAGCCAGAGGGTAAATAGCTGAAATCACCCACTCAGGGAGATAGAAAACAAAAATCCAATTAGTGTCATTTGAGCCAACCCTCCCTGAGGATGAAGTCAGGGGATAAATCTCATTTTGGCTCCTCAGCAGAAAGCTGATGAATACCCTATGGAGATCCTCCCCTAAAATCTCCCCTAAACACCCAGCCTTTAAAATCTTTAAAACAAAGGACCCAGTGGGCTCTCCTTCTCCTCTCAGGAGCGTGCCTGTGCCTTTCCCTTCCTCCTGTTCTTCTCCCCAGGCATGCTACCTTTGCCCTTTCCCTCTCCCTAAAGGGCCTTCTTTTGGTTTTTGTAACTTGTTTCCTGAGCCTATGGTGCCCAGCTGGCTCACTTCTACTACCTCTGTAATTTTCTAAATAAACTTTCTCTTATAGAACAGAGGTCCAACCTTGCCCATAACAACTGGTGCCAGTTCACCACCGACATCACGAATAACACTTCCCTACAATCCCCTTGGGCTCATAGAAGTGGAGTCAGCAGAGATGGGACTCTGATGCTCAGACAGAGTTTGTGTTCTTAACCACATTTCTTTAATTTCTTGTCTTCTCTCCAGGTTGCCTGCAAGTCATCTGTCTAATTGCTTTTCTTCTGAAGAAGCAGTGTTCTGCTTTCCTCCTTCTTATTCTTTTTACTCCATCCCTCAAAGAAGAAACATTGAAACTTGTAGTAGCTACGACTGGGAGTGGCTGCCTAAATGCCAAGAATGGGGCTGTATCTGTGCAATTGACGAAAGATTGCTCCATGGCAACTGTTTTTTTCTATGTACAATTGATAGAGGATCTCAAGAGTGAAAGATTTTAGCCATAGTTCATAGGCTTAAGTGAGTAATGCATGTAGAAAGCTGTTACTCCAGGAACTGGAATGCCTGACTCAAAACTTTGTGTCCAAATGAGGTCTGCTAGTTGTGGAGATGGTATCTGAATTGCTGATCAACAGATAACGAAGTACCAGGAAAATTTCTCCCAAACTGCAGCTCTTATAGTAATGTGGTGCAGAGCACGGGGCTCCTGAAAACAGCAGAGCGTATTTCCCACAAACCTTGATTGGGGGAAGGAGGAAGCTGATGAGATATTTTGCATAACAATGACGAGTTAATAGCCATACCTTTCTGGAAGGAGAGAGGACTGCAGCCCAAGGCAAAAGATGTATGCGATTCTGAGAGTTTTCAGGGACTTGTGATGCAGCCAGGGGGAGCTTATACAGGAACTACTCACGCAGAGTCACGCAGACCAGCAACAGCAGTGCATTCTCCGAGTTCTTCCTGTGCTGTCTCCTGCCTCAAAGCGATTCTGAAAGCAAAACCGAACGAAACTCAGTAGGCTGGGCTTCAACTAGTTCCTTAAAAGTAGTTCCATGTTAGGAGGTAATGATGTCATTTCTTCTTGTTTAATGTGCTCCTGACCGTGCCCACTGTCTGATGACTTTTACCTATGTGCCCTTGTTCCTCGTGTGTCTGCCAGCTGGAAGGAATCCTGGCTTGGAATTACTGGTTGTTGCAGTGATCTAGGCAGCAACCTAGGGTTTTTTGTTTATGTTTTGTTTTCTTTTGGCTGTTTGTTTAGTTGGCTTCTACAAGGGAATCTGATGCAAAGAGCAACTTTTATTGTTTTCTTTTTCTTTGTTTTCTTTGCCTGAGGAGCAAGTGCCAAGTCCTGAAGTGAGTATCGAATGGCTTGACATTCTCTGGTACTTTGTGTTGGTGTTGTAAAAAATGAAGAGGCTGCCACGGTGGGGTAAGTGTGGACACACTTTCTCTCCACATCATTGGAAGCAGGAGAAATTCTGCCTCAAACATTGGGCTCAGGGGCAGAAACAAGCTAATTTCCTCCTGTTCCCAAAATAACAGGATTTCTCTTGCTTGTCCTTATGCTTATTATTGTTGGGTGGTTTTATGTGGCGAGCTATTCGATTGGCCAAAGAGTTTGTTGTTTTGTTTTGTTTTGTTTTCTGTAAGATGGCTCTAGTAGCACTTAGTTATCTTTAACTTCATTCGAAAAAAATTTATTAGATTGTATTGTGACAGCTGTCATATCGGTGTGCATTTTTATTTGTTTATTTTTTTAATTTGTCAACTGACGATATTTTTATACTACCTTCCAGTTATGAGACCCTATTTTACATGTTTATAGTAATAGCTACAATACTACCATTTATCTTTATTTTAACTTAACATATTATCAGAGACATTTTTAAACATATTTTATTAATTATGCTACTACAGTTGTCCCATTCCCCCCCTTCATTCCCCTCCACCCTGCACACCCTCTCCCACCTACATTCCCCCCCTTTAGTTCATGTCCATGTGTCATACGTTCTTTAGCTTCTACATTTCCCATACTATTCTTGCCCTCCCCCTGTCTATTTTCTACCTACCATCTATGCCACTTATTCTCTGTACCTTTTCCCCCCTCTTCTCCTCCCACTCCCCTGTTGCTAACCCTCCATGTGATCTCCATTTCTGTGGTTCTCTTCCTGTTCTAGTTGTTTGCTTAGTTTCTTTTTGTTTTTGTTTTAGGTGTGGTTGTTAATAATTGTGAGTTTGATGTCATTTTACTATACATGTTTTTTATCTTCTTTTTCTTAGATAAGTCCTTTAACATTTCATATAATAAGGGCTTGGTGATGATGAACTCCTTTAACTTGACCTTATCTGAAAAGCACTTTCTCTGCCCTTCCATTCTGAATGAAAGCTTTGCTGGGTAGAACAATCTTGGATGTAGGTCCTTGCCTTTCATGATTTGGAATACTTCTTTCCAGTCCCTTCTTGCCTGCAAGGTCTCTTGAGGAATCAGCTGACAGTCTGATGGGAACTCCTTTGTAGGTTACTGTCTCCTTATCTCTTGCTGTTTCTGGAATTCTCTCCTTAATTTTAATCTTGGGTAATGTAATTATGATGTACCTTGGTGTGTTCCTCCTTGGGTCCAACTTCTTTGGGACTCTCTGAGCTTCCTGGACTTCCTGGAAGTCTATTTCCTTTGCCAGATTGGGGAAGTTCTCCTTTATTATTTGTTCAAATAACTTTTCCACTTGTTGTCCTCCCTCTTCCCCTTCTGGTACCCCTATAATTCAGATGTTGGAATGTTTAAAGATGTCCTGGAGGTTCCTAAGCCTCTCCTCAATTTTTTGAATTCTTGTTTCTTCATTTTCTGTTTGGTTGTTTCTTCCTTCTGGTCCACTCCATTGATTTGAGTCCCAGTTTTCTTCCCATCACTATTGGTTCCCTGTGCATTTTCCTTCATTTCACTTAGCGTAGCCTTCATTTTTTCATCTAATTTGTGACCAAATTCAACCAATTCTGTGAGCATCCTGATCACCAGTGCTTTGAACTGTGCATCTGATAGGTTGGCAATCTCTTCATCTCTTAGTTGTATTTGCTCTGGGGCTTTGATCTGTTCTTTCATTTGGGCCTTTTTTTGTTGTTGTTCTATCGTGCCTGTTATGTAGGAGGGGCAGAGCCTTAGGTGTTCACCTGGGCACGGGGCAACCCAGTTGCTGGATTGTGATGCTTATGTGGGGGCGGGGTCTGAGAGGGAACAATGGCACTTGCTCCGCTCTCTGCCAGATTTCAGTCACTTCTGTTGCTTCCCCCAAGCAAACTGGGCCTTTCTGGTGCTGATTCCTGTGTGGGTGGGCTTGTCTATGTTCTAGGACCCTGTGGTTTTGTCCAGCGAACTCTCCTGTGAGGCTATGAGTCTCTCCCAGCACCTCAGCCTCCACAGGTGTTTTCAGTCGGTGTTTTGAGGCTTTATTACTGGTGCTGGGACCCTGGGTTGCACGGTCTGTCTCGCTCCCCAGTTTTGCCTGGTTTATCTGCATGTGAATGTGGGACCACCCAGTCAGCCAGCCGCCTTGGACACTGTGCCTTGATTCACAATTGCTGCCTCGCTGGGTCTGCCCTTTGCCACCCTGCTGTACTCAGGGTCTGCCCACTGGTGTCTTGCGCACCCAGGGTTTGTCAGCTGCTGCCTTGCGCACCCAGTTCCACTGCTTTTTTGCCAAGACCCCTCTCTCCCCGGCTACCTGACTCCATTCCTCCTACTGTCCTGGACATATGTGTCTATTTTAAGTCCTTAGTTGTTGGACTTCCATACAGTTCAATTTTCTGTCAGTTCTGTTATTTTTTTTTATAAATTGTTGTCTTTATTTTGGTTGTGTGAGGAGGCACAGTGTGTCTCCCTATGCCTCTGTCTTGGCTGTAAGTCCAGAAACATTTTTAAGGTGTAATTTTCATAGTGATATTTTAGTTATTTCTCTTGTGTTCTAAAAAGTTTGTTTACCAGACCACATTGAAACATTTCTTTAATTCATTTTTCTATTTCATTTCTCATAGACACATGGAAATGTTAATAAAATTTCTAATCATCTGATAACTAGTTGATAGTTATTTAGTTGATTGTTATCTGATATAGCCACTAGTTGATACTTAATTTGCTTGTGCAGCCTAATTGCAGTTTTTATCAGAGTTTTTGAAAAGCACATCCTGAAAATAACTTGCAGGTCCTATTGTTGTCCTCACAAATCTGTATGTCCAGGAGCTCCAGGGCTGGAGCCACCGACTGAAAGGGTCACTTCTCACAGGAGTGTTTCTGGTGGAGTGTGATCATTTTCTAAACTATTAGATCATTTTTTTCTTTTTTAAAAATATATTTTATTGATTATGCTATTACAGTTGTCCCAATTTTTCCCCTTTGTCCCCCTCTACCCAGCACCTCCCTACTCCCTCCAGCAATCCCCCCTCCCTTAATTCATGTTTATGGGTCATGCATATAATTGACCCATGTTTTTTGGCTTCTCCATTTCCAATACTTCTTCTACCCATTTTGTATCTACCAATTTGTACTTAATCCCTGCACCTTTTCCCTGATTCTGCCCCATCCCCCTCCCAACTGACAACCCTCCAAATGATCTCCATATCTATGAGAGATAGATATGTTCTGTTTCTATTTTGCTTGTTTGCTTAGTTTGTTTTTTAGATTCAACTGTTGATAGTTGTGAATTTATTGCCATTTTAATGTCCATAGTTTCGATCTTCTTCTTTGTCTTAAATAAGTTCCTTTAACATTTCATATAATGGCTTGGTGATAATGAACTCCTTTAATTTTACCTTGTCTGGGAAGCTATCTGCTCTTTCATTCTAAATGATAGTTTTGTTGGGTAGAGTAGTTTTGACTTGGAACCCTGGGTTTGGGTGGTCTGGTGTGGGGCTGGGATCCCTTGCTCCTGAGGTATCCCTGATTTTTATCCCCCACACATGGGTGTAGGACTGCTGTCTCTGGGCCCTCTGTAGTCTTTCTTGGAGAAGTGTCTGTTCAGGTTCTTTGTCCATTTTTTAATTAGATTGTTTGTCTTCCTGGTGTGGAGTCTTGTGAGTTCTTTATATATTCTGGAGATCAAACCCTTGTCCCAGGTATCATTGGCAAATATGTTTTCCCATATAGTTAGTTCCCTGTTTTTTTTGCTTATGTTTTCTTTAGCTGTGCAGAAGGTTTTTAATTTGATATAGTCCCATTTGTTTATTTTTTCTTTTATATCCCTTGTCCTGGGGGACATATTGTTGAAAATATTTCCGCGTGGAGATAAAATATTTCTGAAAATGTTTACCTGCCTATGTTCTCCTCTAGGACTTTTATGGTGTCACAGTTTATATTTAAGTCTTTTATCCCTCCTGAGTTTATTTTTGTATATAGTGTAAGTTGGTGCTCGAGTTTCATTTTTCTGTATATACCTGCCTAGATCTCCCAACACCATTTATTGAAGAGGCTAATTTTACTCCATTTTATGCTCCTGCCCCCTTTGTCAAATATTAATTGATTATAGAGACTTGGGTTTATTTCTGGCCTCTCTATTCTGTTCCATTGATCTATGTGTGTTCTTATGCCAGTACCAGGCTGTTTTGATTACAGTGGCCTTGTAGTACAGTTTGATATCAGGTATTTGATCCCTCCTACCTTGTTCTTCTTTCCCAAAATTGCTGAGGCTATTTGGGGTCATTTATGGTTCCATATACATTTTTGAAATATTTGTTTTAGATTTGTGAAATATGTTACTGGTATTTTAATAGGGATTGGGTTGAATTCATAGATTGCTTTGGGTAGTATGGACATTTTAATGTTCTTAATTATTCCAATCCATGAGCATGGTACATGCTTCCATTTGTTTGTGTCTTCCTTAATTTCTTTCTTCAGTGTTGTATAGTTTTCTGAGTGCAGGTTTTTACCTCCTTGGTTAAGCTTATTCCTAGGTATTTTATTTTTCTTGTTGCTATAGTAAATGCGATTTTTTAACCTAATTTTTGTTTCTTATATTCCACTGTTGGTATATAAAAATGCCCTCGATTTCTGAATATTGTATCCTGCCATTTTGCCAAATTCACTTATTAGGTTGAGTAGTTTTATGATGGAGTCCATAACATTTTCTATGCACACTATCATGTCATCTGCCAACAATGACAGTTTTGCTTCCTCCTTTCCAATTTGGATGCCTTTTATTTATTTTTTTCTTTTCTGATCCCTGTGACTAGAACTTCTAATACTATGTTGAATAGAAGTGGTGAAAAGTGGACACCCTTGTTTTGTGCCTGATCTTAGGGGAAAGCTTTTAGTTTTTATCCATTGAGTATGATGTTGACTGTAGGTTTCTCGTATATGGCCTTTATTATGTTGAGGTATGCTCCCTCTACTCCCACTTTGCTGAGTGTTTTTATCATAAATGAGTGCTGCACTTTATCAAATCT